TTTTATTCTTAGACTCTACAAAGACTGCTTGGCCAGCCAAAGCCAGAGGGCAAGTCACAGTTGCAAATCAGATACTTCTGTTGCCTATTTTGTCCATTTGAATTTCCAGGCCAACTTTTGATCACAGGAATGAATGGACCTCTTAGCAAAGGAGTTCCTGAAGAAATGTTATTACCTTTCCACTTGTAAAGGGAATAGTGTAGGTACTTGAGTGCCTACCATGTGCAATGTTTCATACCTGGCTAGTAGTTATATGGTGACTAATACTTGATTATGTAAATCTCTGGTAATATTGAGCACATCTGTATCTTCTTTATACAGTAACTAGTCCTTTTGTGGCACAAGCTGAATATAAAACCTGGTTGTCAAGAGAGACCCTAGTGGCTGATGTGCGGTGCAGCAGGACAGGCAGTAAAAACAGGTGTGCTTGAGGCAGGTCCTTACAGCTGTCCAGTATTCCCAGACTTAGTGCCTTTGTAAGAAACACAAAGGCATACAAAGAATAGTCCTTCCATATCCCCTAAGCTTCACATCTCCCTTATCATTATATGAAACTCATTTCTGTCTTACACAATTGGAAGCTTAGTCAATTCTGTTGGTTTAGGTGGTAACAGAGTTGCCAGTCTCTGTATCCCTGGTACTCCTCTAAACCTGCCAGGTAGCTAGTGAGGTTTCATGAATTCTTTCACATGTGTTGAATGTCTATTCTACAAAGAACTGGGTGAAGTTAACAGCTAAGTAAAGATTATAGAGGCAAGCAGTGATTTGTTGTTACCTCAAGGGATGCTTTGCAGAAGGGTATGTATGCCATTGACAAAAAGTCCAATTTTAAAGAGTATGTTTACTGTCAGGTTATTAGATTGACAGCTCAGATTTGCCAATTCTCTTCAAACCCAACTATTTTTTAAAAAAACAAATGGTTATTGAACATTACACGTGTTCTTAGTGAAAGTTTGCACCAATCTCCCAAAACTCAGTGCTCTCTGGTGTCCTAAGAATGATCTTCCTTACAAGATTTAATTTTCTACTTTATGGGAATAATCAGAGGCACTAACACAACATTGGCAATCTCTCAACTTCCCATCATCTTTACTGGCAGACATGGCATGTGCCATTACTGACTCATTTATACCACTTGCCCTCCTGTGTCAGTGGAATTGAGATTTCTCTTCTCACTGAAATTCTTCTATCAGTGAAGTCAATCCCGTCCACTTCTGAAGAACACTTCCCATAATTACCTATTTTTGAAGAATCCTCCCCGTCTGCCAGAGGTTTTCCCCAATGTGAATGTGTTTGTGTTGTTCCCCTCCTACCCCTGACAACCCCTAGAATGCTGGCTCTCATTTTGCTCCCAGTAAATGTCCTGATGCTGCTTCTCATCTCCCATTCTCTCCTTAACCCGCTTTAGTCTGTCCCTGGCACCATCACTCTACTGAAGCTACTATTGCTAAGGCCATCGATGCCTTCGCACATACAAACCAGAGCTCTTCATCCCCACTCCCCACTCCCCAAGCATTCCCTAACATCATATAGGGCACTGCCATTCACCTAGTTGCTGGACCAAAAACCTCCAAGTGAGTTAACCTGCTCCAATCTGTTAGCAATTCTTGTTATCTCCACCTATCATTGGTAACCAGACCACTTTCTCTTCTATTTGGCACTTCTCACCTGTGTCACTGTTATTGCCTCCTGACTTCTTGGCCTCCACTCAGACTCCCAGCTATCCAGTCTCCTCTCCCCAAAGCAACCAGGATGGCCTCTAAGAGCACTTCACTCCCCTGCTCAATATCTGTCAAAGGCTTCCCATCAAACAAATAAAAAAGTAACTTCTTCCCATGGCCTGCAAGCTACAAGGCCCTGTCAGATAGGACTTGCCCTTCTGTACCCTCATGTCCTACATTCTTTCCCTCATTCACACTCTGAGCACACCGGCCATACCTCACTGTTCCTCAAACATAAAAAACTCGTTTCCATCTCAGAATCTTGCACTCGTTCCTCTGCCTGTCACACCAGAGCTCCTCATCTTCCCCAGTTCAGTCAGGTCACAATTCAAATGTTCTCTCTTTATAGAGCCTCTTCCTGATCATTCTATCTAAATAGTAAGCCCCTGTAACCACTTTATTACTTTATCCTGCTTTATCTTCTTGGTATTTACCACTACCTGAAATATTCATCTTTTTAAAAACACTCATTTAAAGAAATATTTATGTCTTCCTTACTAGAATATACACTCCATAAAAGCAAAAACTTTATTCAACCTTGTCTCTCCTCTATCCTCAGCACTTAGATCTGTAAAGACTAACAGCACTAAGTGGAGAAGTCCCCAGGAGTGGCTTAGAGTGGTGCAAAAACCAGGAGAAAATAATAAAAAAGAAGTCAAGATAAGTGAGGTTCAAGAAAGAGAGTGTGGTCAAAATGAGAAATGCTGCCAAGAAGTTGCCCATTCCATAAATATCCACTGAATACCTAACTCTTTGTCACTATTTTATCTTCTATACACTTTATTCACATGCTTTCTCTGCATTTGAACAGCTAATCCTAATTCCCTACCTCTAGCTCAGATTCATGCTCTAATTTTATGCATTCAAATGATCACTAGAGATTGCCACTCTGCTGACTCGCAGGTCCATCAAGCTTAACTCATCTACAAAGGACTCACTTTCCTCCAACCCAGATGCTCTCCCTCCTGTATCATCACCTAGCTCTCCACACGGGAGCACCACTCCTGCCTTTCTCCACATGTGCTAACCACTCCACATGGCTGACAGCTCCATGAAAAGGCCTGAGTCTGACCCATTGCCCACTGAGGGGTCTCTATTCAGAAGCACAAGCTGCCTCTCTAAAAATTGTAACTGAATACTGAAGGAGGAGGCATTGACCTAAGTAATCTTTCCCTCCAGACCAAGCAGTAGACTCTCCCCTTTAGGATTGCTGGAGCGGGGAGTAATACAATCCCCATCACTTCTCACTAGAATAGGACTATTTATTCCAGATGATAAAATCTGACCATAGGAATTCTGTATGAATGACACAAAGGTCCTCACACAGCTATAGCTTAGCAGGCAGCTAGCAAAGTCTTGTCAGATAATACTGCACGTCAATCCTGGGCTACTTCACAGGCAGGCACGAGAGGACAGCAAGGATGGATGAACACCCATCATCCAAGGAACAGAGAATTCAGGGCTCTAAATTCCCAATCAGGACACACATTAGAACTGCCTGGGGAATACAGCCTGGGACTCAGCTAAGACCTGCAATCAATCGTCACTGCCTGGGGCCCATGATGTTTTATTATTGCCCCCATCCTACCCCATCAGCACACCTTGTATGTGTGCATGTGTGTGCACTGCATGTGTACATGTCTCCTGAGGTGTGGAAGGAAAAACCGGAAGTCTCTCCTGCTGCCTTTAATAGCAATTGTTTTATGATGAGAAAAGCAAGGACATTTTAAATCATAATGATTATTAAGCTCAAATGTGTGTATTTCACTTCCTTTGATAGGTTTCCCTTAATAAAGTTCTGATGATCATTTCAGGAACCTACTTTTATTTGAAAAAAAAGATCATACCCTGTGGACAAGACAGAAAAGATGTTTTCTGAAAGAACTATCTTACCAAAGTTGTTATTGCATATTCAGCTGTTAGCTTTGTGGCACTGAAAAAAGGATGAATAAATCTGTAAATAGATTCGGGATCAGGATTCTGATTAAAGTATTCCTCTGGAACTGTTTCTTGCTGAAAGGAGAAAAAATGCAATGTAAGTATCCACTAAAGAAAAATACTTAAGTGCTTTTATGATAGCCATCTACTGGTGCCCACGTGCCCCTTAAAATAATTTTGATTGGGTGACATGTCTTTTAGTCTTTTAAATACAAACAATGGGACCTTAAAAAACAATAGTGATTCAATACCACTACTCATTAAAGATAAATACAGGCACAACCTCAGAAAATTTGTATGTTCCTTTCCACCTTCTCCCTACAGAATTCTATTTAAATGTAAGCTATCTTTAGGCTCAAACATCTTGTTGATCGCCATGTCCCACTTCTCTGCAATCAACTCTGAAAATATATTTTCAGTTTCCTGTAACCATCAGGCTCTAAGGCTGTGCCATGCTATACAGTAGTCACCAGCCACATATTGCTATAGAACATCTGAAGAAGTGAACTTGAAAATTTCTGTCATTCTAATTAATCCAAAATTTAAATAGTTGTTCAATTTTCTTCATAGAGATCTTAACACATCTATTAGGTTTATTTACAAATAGTCCTATTGTTTGATGTTACTGAAAATTATCTCTTAAAAAGATACATTTTGTTTTTTGGGCATGTTTACTCACCTTAGCTCACTAATAATTCAAAGCTGCAATTCAGTTCTTACTGACATATTTCTTATACAACATTCCTTTTGTAAAATAATTAGATACAACATGGGGTGGGGAAGAAAACTTAACGGGAGATCATTTTGAATTCAAGCTGAAGGGAGTAATTTTCTTCTAGTGATTAATTTCAAAGCAAATAAGCATTAAATAAAATTGTATGAGAGAAAAATACAACCTCAATACAACTGACACTTACTGTGAATGGATGTAATCGTTCATCAAAAATGTCCTCGGATCTATTTGCCTCCCTGTAAAATAAGAACATGATTTAAAAGAAAAATCCAGGAACTGTTAATATCCTAGTAACATTATCTGCTAGGAGAGAAGCTTAACCTTCAACAGAGTCCTTCTACAAATTCTTCTCTTAGATTCTGTAAAAATTTTCTGACATTTTACTCAGCACATCAAATTCTATGAAATCTTTTCTACAGTAACCAGCCAGAGTTGCCTTTATAAGCACTGACCTTCCCTAAGGCAATGCTAGTCAACCAAATCTATTTCCACTCCTCTAACCTCACATTGGAATACAGGAGAACATTTTATAAAGCAGTAGTGGTTGGCAGTTGTTCATGTGAATATGAGATTCATGTTTTTTCCCTGGTTTATTCTCTTATTAGTTTCCTTTATTATATTTTTATTATGTATTACTTCTTGTCTCTTTTAAATAGTCTGAGTTTAAAACTTTCCTTTTTATTTTGAAAGCAACCAGTCTATTGATTTTAGAGAGAGGAAAGAAAAGAGAGGGAAAGAGAG